AAGGTTGATCAGGTGAAATCTCTTCGGTTTCTTGGTAGAATTTTAAACGACAGTTTAAGCCTTCGTGGGCATTATGAGAAAGCCTTCAAAGACTGTCAATCTGGATGTAACATCATTAAACTCATGACTAACAATCAGTCAGGCTCTGACAGTATACAAATCTTTAGTCAGGTCCAAAATTGAATTTGCACATTCCACATGTTGCAATTTCCCAAAATATATTGAGAAACGTATACAAACATTTGAAAATCGAATATTAAAAAGTCGTATTGGACTGATCCCCTCAACTCTTTAACATATTCTCAATGTCATTTCTGGTGAATGGTCCGTTTCCGAAAGAGCTCTTTTTTGTACTGCCAAGAAGCTTTACTTTTAATAAATAAAAGAGATGCAGAAAATTAATATGTGTTTGATATACACAGGATGTTACATGAATCTCAAGTGGATGACTGCCACCTTGTTTGGGTACCTGGTCACGGCAGCTTTTTGTTTAAAAGAAAAAGCCGACTTTCATGCAAAAAGAGCTCAAGTTGGTGGGAAAATTTTGTCCATCATATACACTCCCAATTCCGGCAATTCGCAATCACATCTTTGAACAACTAAATGGTGCATATACAGAGATTGCGCGTGTTAAATCCAATGGCCGTTTCTGTAAAATAAATCACATATTTCACTTTAAAGCTTTATCAGAGGCTTCCTTTAACTCCTGGGAAATCAAAATTCTTTTTAGACTCATGAATGCGATAAAGTATATTTGAAAACGATAAAGTATATTTAAAAACGATTCGTGCAATACCCTGTGGCTTTTGTGAAGTTCATAATATTAGTGAGCCTGCTGAGCATCTAATTTTTACATGTCGCATACTTGGTGGCATTAGTTCTTCTGGCTTCTTCAAATTCGACGGCGGTCTCCTCGATCTCTTTGTAGCAAAAAATGAACGTCATCTCGAAAACTAACTTGCTTTATAAGAAAAGCGAATTTATCTTTTTAATAGATAATAAATTTTCCAAAGTTTGAAACATCGTTTTGTTATATCACTTTCACCAACTTAACAATCTACATTTGCACTTAATATAGTGGCTTTAGCTATTACGGCCGTTTCTTTTTTTTTTTTTTTTTGTTGTTTTATAAACGTTTCTTGCTAACAGTTACTACTATTTATTGTCTGGACATACAAGCCACAAATTTATTGTTTTGATCCATATTAACTCAACATCCAAAAAAAAAATACTAAATTTCGAAATCATTTCGATTGGGCGAGAGAATGATTCCATTTTGCATATAATGGATGCTATCCCGGGGAACGCTTACCGAAATTATAAAAATTAAAGAAAATTTAAAATATTCTATTTTTTTGTTCTGCTTTCTTTTTAAATTAAAAATAAGAACGAAATCGCAAACTTATTGACTAGTTATTTTTCTTCTTCTGCGAGCCAGCAAATCGACAACAGATGACTTGCTGAATTGAGTAAAAAAGATTCTTTGTGAACACGTGGTTCCTCGTTTGAATTTTAATAAAGTTGATAGCTTAATATCATTTCATTTTCTTGTTTTATTTTATCTAGATTTTTGAGACAAAATATTCTGCGATTTCCTTCAAATGATTATAAGATAATACAGCGTGAAGTGAATTTCGTAGTGTCAGAAATGATAGAGTGCAAGAGCATGGAAATGTCTTATGAAAAAGCTGAAAGTTGCTGAAACTGCAAAAGTAGTTCTATAGCGTAATCTCTCACATTAAATAATAATCATTAAATTTTTGCGTAATACGAACACTTTCTCTTCTTTTTATTTATTTATTTTTTTTGCAGAAGAGGAAAAAATACATATTAACACAAGAAAGACACGTCAAGAAAAATCAGCTGTAGCTTGCCTTGCAGGTTTTGCTATGCGTTTGACTTGTTTGATATACCGCATCACTTCAGCAATACACGCTGCAAGGTATTCGTCAGCGCTTTACGCGTTTTGGTTTGTTTAGGGTATAATGAGCAATAAACTTTCATATATTGTGTTTACTTTTTTATTATTGTATGAAGTTCAACACACATTCATATATGGTGTTTAGCTCTATAGTCCCTAATTTTCTTGCCGCTCATGCCTACGTCTTAATCATATGGAATAAAATCTTTCCCTTTACGTTTTGTTGTAGTTGCTATTTTGAGTACTGACTTTCAATGACATTGAAATTTTTATTGCTCGTGCAAACGGCACTTTCTTTTTTCAAATACCTTACTGTTATATATATTAATTATATTTACTAATCGTATAGTATTGACTAAATAAATAATTGCTGCATTTCACTTTTTTGTAATCATTGCAATCAATTAAACACATTAACCAATTATTTGAATTTTCATTTCTTAAAAATTGTTATTAAAACCAATCAGCTTTGCAACTCTGCATTTTTAGGGGTATTGCTTCAGCTACTTGTGAACGATTGCGTTTTTTTCATTTCCATAATCAAAGGTTATTACGTGCATTTTAAAAAATTAGTAAAAAATATTTTTTTAAATCCTTAAATTTTATGTTGAATTTTTTCTGAATTGATTGTTGTTTTTCATACTTTTTTAAAAACAGACCGCTGCATTGCAGCACAGCCCGAAAAGTAGCTAGTGTTGGTGGTCTCTACTACTGCTTAGCACGGAAATCAATAAACGACAAAACAATATTCAAAAGAAACTTGCGTAATGAAAATTTGGACGTCAGAGCATACCTTCAATCATCCGTGGGAAACAGTAACACAAGCTGCATGGCGAAAATATCCGAATCCAATGACACCGTCAATCATTGGCACCGATGTTGTGGAACGTAAAGTAGTTGATGGAGTATTACACACGCACCGCTTGGTACAATCAAAATGGTATTTTCCGAAATGGACCCATCAACTAATAGGCTCTGCGAAGATTTGTTTTGCTAGCGAGCGTTCCACAGTAGATCCAAACAAACGACAAATGATGCTAAAAACTATTAATTTAACATTTTGTCGACACATATCTGTAGATGAAGTGCTATATTACGAACCTCACCCCACAGATTCGGGGAAAACTCTCTTAAAGCAAGAGGCTTCAGTGAGTGTACGTGGTGTTCCGCTATCTCATTATATGGAGGACTTATTAACATCTACAATCAGTAAAAACGCTGGCAAAGGTCGTCAGGGGCTGGAATGGGTGATAGGACGAATTAACTCCGAGGTTATGGGAATCGCCGAGACAGCTGCTAAAAGCACAGATGATCTTATTCTGTCTACGCGGCGTTCTCTCGATGATATGACCGAGAGTGCGCGCAAAAGTATGGATGAAATCCACGCCCAAGCCGCCAAACATATGCACATTTAGATTTACAACAATCAAATATTAAAAGACCAAATCCAAAGGGAAGATAAAATGAAAGGAAAATGGAATAGGGCTAAAAACAGTATACATAACATAATTAATGTACATTTGTTTGTGGTTTTTTGAAGAAGAATGATTGTGGAACGTTTCGCTAGTCGATTAAAAGTTCTTTATGTGAATGATTTTCACACAGGAATATGTTATTTGATAATGCTCAAAATTTATTCGCCTTTTATTTAGTTAATTATGTATTGTATTTTTATTAGCATATTCGTCGTCCAAATCATTCATAATTTCTTATACAATTGGGCTTGATAACGAATATTGGGCGCCTCACGATTCACATACAATTGTTTAGAGAGCATATTAAGTGAGCTACTCTACTGACATGTATACTATTTAATTTAAATATAAACACCTGTTATGCGAAGTTTAAAATCGTTTTTACCTATATATCGTAGAGTAAAGGCTAGTTGATAGAAGAATAATTGTTGTGGCCATGTGAGGAAATATTATGAAGTAACAATTTAATGTATATTTAGATTCACCAATCTAATTAAAAAGAAGCTAGCAAAAGCTATTTCAAAAAATTGTATATTTCTTGTACAATTAACGTTATCATAAAACAATTCGATTAGTTTTGGAAGAGTACATTTTCTTATTGTGCAGTTAAATTAACACAATATTTTGACTGTATCCACATACACATATATATACAACGTAAAAATGCCTTCACATGTACGATACTGAGTAGTAACTTGTTACTCTGGTGCCAAGAGAATTGTTTTGTTGACATATTGCACTTATTATTTCGCATTTAACATTACGGTTGTGTACGTGCATATCTGAGCACGGGGATAGTGTCATGAAGAGAAGACAAAAGGCATTACCAACTATTGCGCCTGATTGCTTACATAAAGCCACTGGCACTTAAAATTTTTACTAACTTTCCTCCTACTACAAACAACTAGGAAAATTCAGCGTTAAACAGTATGTAATGAAAATTTAAAGAACGAGTAAGGTAATTAAAAATGGTTGCAGATATCTCTACGTAATTATTGCAAGGAACAAGATCTATTGGTACGGGATACTCATGTGTATTGAGTAATCATTGATTTAAGCAAGACGCAGATTTAGCTGCTCCACACACATAGCACATCCTACACAACTCGTATCATAAATATATACAATTCAATAGCTTCTAATTCACTATTTTGCGGACTAAAACATTTTAATACATAAGAAAGAAAAGTATTAATAATATAAAATTATTTTGTGAAAAGCTTCTGCTGTTAGAGATCTGAACACTGACATTCGCTGCCTTTAATTTGACTTTAAATTGTAGGAGACTGAAACATTGACTACTTGGTTTTGTTTAATAGCACTACTTTTCCAACCTCTGCCTCTTTACAGGAAAAAAATACAAGAAACCAAAAACGGACTAGATTTTTAAAAGAAGTATAAAACAGTATAAAAGAGAACTAGTTTAGATTCTCTTAATAAACGGTTCGCTATCCATTTCAATTTAAGCGAAGTATTCTTAGTAGCCAAAACGAAGACGAAATTTAAAGAGTTTGAAGATCATTACTTCCGAAAATGTTCAAAATATAGCTGATTTTCGTTTTTCGTTGGTGGAGTCACAAATTGATTAAGCTATTTTTTTTCTAAATCAATAATAATAATATCAACGAAAGATGACATTTCGCATATTTTTTAGTATAATAAGATAACATTGCAATTGCAAACAAAAAGAACAAATTTCTTCTTTTTAGTTGACATATTTTAAAATTTCAGTACAAATAGAGACTGTAACATAAAACCCAGAGACAACGAAGTATATTTCGAAAGTTGTCTTTGATAAAAATACACATTCGTCTTATCTTGTATCTCTTAATTAAATTTACAAAATAAAGACACGTGTGGGAAAGTGCTCATTATTAGAGTCACATTAAAAATTGCGTCGAGTGTGTAGACTTTGCGTTAAGAAGAGAAAAGTGTACACTTGAATACATACGGGCAGTGCACTATTAAATTAGTTGTAAAGTGTTTTAAATAGAAAATATATTAAAGTGGACATATTAATAAATATGTAACTTGTTTGTGAAATTTTTTCTTCGTAAAAGCATGAATTTATTTCTTTTACTTTCATTAAAAAAGGAAATAAAAAAAATTATAAGCATGCTGCCGAACAAATCGAAAATTCTGAATTATTTTCACTAGTTCTATCTACTTTTCCCGCAAACTTTAGAAAGCTTGTGCTGCAGGAAGTTTTCGCATCCATACATATGTGTACGTATGTACACATATACATGTATGTATAAATATACATAAATATATATATATATATATATATATATATATATATATATATTTATATGTTTATAATATGTAAATCTTTAATCTCCACAGAGATAACCCGTTCAGTTAGGAACTGATTATAAACATACTAGAGAATAAAAAAAAACACCGAAGTAATATGATTGCAAATAAATCTGTTTTCCTATAATCTAGTTTCGCACTCAACACCAGCGATCACTATTATCATTCGAATTTTGTACTAGTTAGCAAATAGAGCGATTCTAAACAATGGCAATTCTACGCTTCTTTACTATTGACGCCGATATAGCAGCCCATCGACAAAAAATTTTAAAACAGTTACAAAATGTACGTTAAAATTGTTTTGAAGAATTTTCTGTAGATGTTTTTTGCCATTGTAATTAAGTCATAAATCGTTTTTGCAGAATTTTCCAAATGTTGCAACTTTACAAGCGGAAAAATGTTATCATGTTGAGACTTCAATTCCGATACAAATCAAATCAAAGGCTGAGTCATTGCTAAGGTGGTTGCTTAAACACCCACAAGGTGATAGGAGCAGTTTACACTTGCAGTCGCTGTTGCCGGCCGGTGAAAATGAGACTATTCTTATTGAAGTCGGTCCGCGATTCAACTTTTCAACTGCTTTTTCTACTAATTGCGTGAATATATGTCAGAATGTGGGGCTTACACAAGTTATACGATTGGAAAGTTCTGTTCGTTATCTGATTGGTTATACCGGAAATATTCCGGACACTGATAAGTTAATGGAATTGTTAAGCGATCGCATGACTGAATGTCGTTATACTAGAGACAATTTGCCTACAAACAGTTTCAACGAGCAATTGCCACAATCTCAAGAATCTTGGTATTCTGTGCCGGTGATGGAACGAGGTCGAAAAGCTTTGGAAGAGGTCAATGACAAATTGGGCTTGTCTTTCAGTGATTGGGATTTAGAATATTATACAAATCTTTTTGAGAAAACATTGAAACGAAACCCAACGACTGTAGAACTATTTGATTGTGCTCAAAGTAATAGTGAACATTCCCGTCATTGGTTCTTCCGTGGCAAAATGATAGTGGATGGAATTGAGCAGCCCCAATCTTTGATACGCATGATTATGGGTACTCAGTCCCATACTAACGCGAATAATACTATTAAATTTAGTGACAACAGCAGCGCCATAAAAGGTTTTAAGCATCTTACCATTCGGCCGCAGCGCTTTGACGGCCCAGGAGCAATAGTAGTACAATCAGTAGAATCAGATTTGATTTTCACCGCTGAAACCCATAATATGCCAACGGCTGTAGCCCCTTTTAGCGGCGCAAGTACTGGCACTGGTGGTCGTTTGAGGTTCGCTCGTAAATATACGCATAGGTTTTTTATTTTTTCTTTTTCTTCTTTAGAGATGTTCAAGGAGTTGGCCGCGGTGGCTTACCAATTGCCGGAACTGCCGGTTATTGTGTGGGTTGTCTTAATATACCCGGTTTTCCCCAGTCCTATGAAAATCCCAATTATGTCTATCCCTCCTCGTTTTCAAAGCCTCTAAAGATATTAATTGAAGCTAGTAATGGGGCTTCTGACTACGGTAACAAATTTGGCGAGCCTCTTATTACTGGATTTGTGTGCTCGTATGGCCTCACTAATGCTCAAGGTGAACGCGATGAATACGTGAAGCCGATTATGTTTAGCGGTGGCATGGGTGTGATGGAGTCTTCAATGAGACAAAAACTTGATCCAAAGCATGGTGAGATAGCTGCGTGCTACTTTCTTTTCAATTAGGCTACAAATTTTTTTTAAGGCATGTTGTTGGCAAAAATTGGTGGTCCTGTTTATCGCATCGGAGTGGGTGGCGGTGCTGCCAGCTCTGTAGAGGTGCAAGGTTCCAATGATTCCGCTTTAGATTTTAATGCTGTTCAACGCGGTGATGCCGAGATGGAAAATAAATTAAATCGCGTTGTCAGAGCATGCATTGAAATGGGCGATCGAAATCCGATCTTAGCTATACATGACCAGGTAGAGTGTTGAAGTATCCTTTCGTTGAATAATATAAATATGAGTTTTTCTTAGGGAGCGGGCGGTAATGGCAATGTTCTAAAAGAATTAGTTGAACCTGGGTTTGCTGGTGCGATAATTTTCTCCAAGGAATTTCAATTGGGCGATCCCACTATCAATGCTTTGGAGTTGTGGGGAGCTGAATATCAGGAGAACGATGCTATTTTATGTAGACCGCAAGACCGTAGTTTGCTGGAGAGAATTTGTGCACGAGAACGTTGTCCCATATGTTTTGTTGGAATTGTAACGGGGGATGGACGTGTTAGTCTTTTGGAAAGTTCTGCTGATTTTGATAAGGCTCTAAACCCCAAAGTGAATCGTACGGACTTTGGTCCCATGCCATTTGACTTGGAACTTAAACATGTTTTGGGGGAAATGCCTAAACGTGAGTATCATCTTCAACGCTTGGCAACTCATCTGCTGCCATTGCAACTTGAACACAAATTTGATTACGCCGGCAGTCTAGAACGTGTTCTGAGTTTAGTAAGCGTAGGAAGCAAGCGTTATCTAACCAACAAAGTCGACCGGTGCGTGAGTGGCCTGGTAGCGCAACAGCAATGTGTAGGTCCGTTACATACACCTTTAGCCGATTTCGCTTTAGTAGCTGTTTCTCACTATAGCAAAGAGGGCTTGGCTTCTTCACTAGGAACGCAGCCAATAAAAGGTCTTTTAAATGCTGGCGCCATGGCGCGCATGTCGGTTGCTGAGGCCATATCTAATTTAGTGTTTGTTAAGATTACTGAGCTGGCCGATGTTAAGTGTTCGGGAAATTGGATGTGGGCTGCTAAATTGCCTGGTGAAGGCGCACGCATGTTCGATGCCTGCCAAGAAATGTGCAAAATAATGAAGGAACTCAAAATTGCCGTCGATGGGGGTAAAGACTCTCTATCAATGGCTGCAAAAATAGGTGAAAGGACCGTTAAATCACCGGGAACTTTAGTAATTTCGACCTACGCTCCCTGTCCTGATATAAACGTTAAGATTACACCTGATATCAAAGGTTCAGCGCACGGGTTAGAAACAGTACTCTTGTGGATTAATATTGAAGGCAAATTTCGCCTAGGTGGAAGTGCTTTAGCTCAAGTCCACAGTCAACAAGGCAACGAATGTCCTAACGTTTTACGGACAGATGTACTCAGTAATGCTTTCAAGGTTACGCAAAAACTACTCTCTCAAGGCAACTTGCTGGCTGGTCATGACATTAGTGACGGCGGCTTATTGATTTGTTTGCTGGAAATGGCCTTTGCTGGTTTGTCAGGGCTCCAAGTGAATTTAACGAATGTTATAGACCAAATCCCACATAAAAGTTTAGATGAAGCTAGTAGAGCTATGCAGAATCCCGAATTGGCTATACTGTATGCTGAAGAATGCGGTTGGGTCCTTGAGATACATCCTTCCTGTTTATCGGAAGTCCAGGCCGCTTTTAGCGCGGCTTCTGTTCCTAACTATGTGGTAGGTTGTGCTAAAGGATACGGGCTGGATTCGACAATTACTGTTTCAGCCAAAGGAAGAACTCTACTTCACAGCAACGTGAAAACACTTTTCAAACAGTGGGAGCGTATTAGTTTTGAATTGGAGAAGTTGCAAACAAATGCGGATTGTGCCATAGAAGAATTCAACACTTTGGATTATCGCACAGGGCCTAAATATTTTTGTGCCGTAGATCTCAACTCAGAATTGATACTGAAACGCGCCACTCGTTCGATCCGCGTGGCAGTGTTACGGGAAGAAGGTATTAATAGCGATCGGGAAATGATGGCTAGCTTATTAAAGGCGAATTTTGAAGTACACGATGTTACTATGTCCGATTTACTTGAAGGTAAGTTTTGCAGAAAAAGAGTGCGTATTTTTTACTAACATATTCCCTTCAGGTAAAACTACTTTGGATCGCTATCGTGGAGTGATATTCCCTGGCGGTTTTAGCTATGCTGATACTTTAGGTTCCGCTAAAGGATGGGCTGCAAACATAATGTTCAGCGAGACGCTAGCTCCGCAATTTCAAACTTTCAAGCAACGCAAGGATACTTTTTCATTAGGGATTTGCAATGGGTGTCAATTAATGAGTTTAATCGGTTGGGTTGGTTCCTTTGATGAAAGTACTGTTAAACAAATAGTAGATGTGCCTGATGTTGCTTTATTGCATAATAAATCGGAACGTTTTGAATGCCGCTGGGCAACTTTACGCATTGCGAATAGCAAAGCCATGATGTTAAGCAAATTGAATGGATCAGTACTCGGGTGCTGGGTTGCTCATGGTGAGGGCCGTTTTTCTTTCCGTACACCCGAAATTTTACACAACCTTAAAGAAAAACAGTGTGTGACTTTGCACTATGTAGATGACAATGCGAAGCCTACAGAAGTGTATCCCATGAATCCTAACGGCAGCGCTGAAGGCATCGCAGGTCTTTGCTCTCCAGATGGTCGACATTTGGCTATGATGCCTCATCCGGAACGTTGCCATGCAATGTTTGAATGGCCTTATATTTCCCCAGGTTTTCAGATTACGAAAGGAGTTAGCCCATGGCAAATCATGTTTAATACGGCCAACGAATGGTGCACCGCGGAATAAAACATTCGAAATATCTCTTTTTATCTCTGTATATTGTAATAAATGCTTTTTATATTATTTTTAAAAATACTCATATTTCATAATTTTGAATGCCAGCCCTAAAGGCATTATTAGATTTGATAAATACCATAGAACTATGCCCTAGAATCGCAAAAGGTGTACATACACTTTTGATTAATCACCATCGATTTACTCATGATCTCCCAATGAAGTTTAAGATGCAAAAGAATTATAACTTCTTTTTTTTTCAATTTTGGGGTAGATTGTTGATCTTCAAAAGTCAGCTTAGTGCCGACTAGGGTGTGTTTGCTAGAGAGCTTAATGCATCTGAAAAGAGGTAGTTACGGGAGATGTTTTTAGAGCATTTTTTGCTATCTGTAAATATGACTAGTGCTTTTTATCTTTTTTTTTTGATGTTAAGATGAAATAAGCCAATAAAATTCCTGGCTTATACGTCAGTATAGCTTTTTTTCCACCACAATCGACACTTCGACAAGAAGTTTAGCAAACGGCAGCTGAACATTTTTTCTGTGTTAGTGGAAAAAGAAAGAAAAACAAAAAAAAGCAAAAAAATAAAAATTTAAAAACCAATAAAAACGACAAAAAAACAATTTTTTTCTCAAAATATACTAAAATAAAGAACTATACAAATCTTTGGTGAATTTATTTTCGAATAAAAATTTATTCTCCCTTCCACTTTCATTCACACTTGATACAACACGTCATCTCTGCAAGCGGCAGCTGGATAATTTTTGTGTTTTACCAGTGTTAGTGGAAAGAAAAAAAAGTAAATAAGAAGAAAGAAAAAAACGAGAATTTAAATATTTAAAAAAGGAAAAAGAAAGGAAAGAAAAGAGGTTCAATAAAGTAACCAAATTTTTTGAAAAACATTTAAAGGAAGAAAAGGAGGGAAGGAAGAAGAAGAAAGTGAGAGAAAAATTAAAAAGCAATATATAAAATTTTTTGTCTTTTCGTTGTGATTCTTTTTTTCGGGGAACATCGTGATATCAACCAAAACAACATCAGCATCTAAATCGGCTTGAAAGGTAAAACCCTCCCTAAATCAATTAAATTCAATTATTGTCATCTACCGGTTGAGTACTTTGCACCAACCTTAAAGCAACGCTTTAAGTGCGGTAGGTACGGTCACGTTTCAAAGTTTTGTAAAGCTAAGGAGAGCAGATGCCTAAACTGTGGGAAACCTCCGAAGTGTGTGACCTGTGAGAAGATGAAGTGTTTGTCCTGTGGTTCAGATGAGCACAACACTCTCAACAAGCATCATGGCAATTAGAAATCTTTGGTATAAAGAGGTAAAAGACAAGTTTTCGTCTAATTACTTCGAATGTCTTGACGACACGTCCTACGGCGGCAACTTCTCTCCAGAGGGGAACGCGTCTGCCATTTCTTGTAAGGACGACAATGAAAATGCCAATAAAATTTTAACAAAAAATAAATTTAATGTTGTCGTCAAAAGAAAATCGGTTCGTTCCGAAGCTCCTGTCAGTTCAGCCACCAGACCTTCTCTCAGTTCACCCCTCAAGCCGTCTGGAACAAGTCTTCAGCGTCCAGTAATTTCCAATAACTGTTTGCGTTCCTCAGAACTTAAAAGATTAAAGAAAGTATCCCTCCGATGATCCCTCATAATCTTATTAAAAAATTTGAAGAGAAAATGTCTGTCTGTGCCTATTCTCGCCCCGTTCAAGCACCCAACGCTATGAGCAAATCCGTTGGGTTTCCTTGGAAGGAACATCACATCCTAAATGTGATGTCCCTTTTCAATGTAATATCCAATGTGTTCGACGTAATCTGTGGTTTTTGGACTTTTACTTGAACTCAAATAAGATTGATTTCTGCATCTTAAGTGAAGTTTTTCTGAAAGATGAAAATTATTTTGAAGTCTAAGTTCCGAATTGTTCTTCAGTCACCAAATGACGAAATAATGGCTATGGTGGTGTTAGCATATTAGTTAAAAAAGGTGTCAATTTCAGACGTATTCCCTATAACTCTGCCGTTGACATTATCATCATCAACCTTAAACCGAATCTTTTCATAGCATTGTGCTATTTTCCGCCCAGTCTCGATGTACACACCTTTCGTGATGAAATTCAGAGATTATGTGACTTTCTTGACGGCGAAAAAAATGTGATACTAGCTGGCGATTTCAATGCAAGACATTGCTTGTATTACGATCAGCTTTCCACCAACAGCAGCAAAATTCTTGTAAATGCCATCAATTCCAGCAGTTTCAGTGTCTTAATTAATGGCAATACTACCTTTCACTGTAACCAGAATGGTCGCACGGCGAGCAGTATCTTGGGTCTAACTTTCTCGAATTTAACTATTTTATCATTCAACTGGGACACATCCAACGTTTCCATTGGCAAAAGTCAGCACTCTCCCATTTTATTCCACGATTGCAACAATTCCGTTAAGAAAATAGAAAATTTCATTTCACGCAACTTGCTTATGAATCACCTTTCTAAAGCTGATCTTCCTTCCGATTTATCATCAATTCAAAGTGCCTTTCGGTCTGTGATTAGGTTTGCTAGAACCGACTTTCTTGACATTGAGTCCTTCTCACCTAAACCTTGGGGGAACTTTTCCCAGTCAACACTTTTTCGCAAAAACCAAGCTGCAAGGAAAAAAATGAGTAAATATGCCAATCCAGCCAACTACATGGAAGATATGAAAACACTGAAAGAATGGAGGTCTGCAGTTAGAAAGGTGAAAAGGACACACAGAGCTATTGCGATTAAAGAGTTATGTGGCAACGGTAACCCATGTTCTTTCTGGAATTACATTAATGGTCATCGACATTCTAGTCGAAAATTAACGGGTTGTGATGTGTGGAATGAGCAGATAAAAAAGATATTTGGATATGCTCAAGAGGTATATTTCAAATGTCAATCCGATTACAATACCTTCAATTCCTTTTAGAGGGCTCAACAACACAACCAGAAAGAGAGCTACCGCTGCAGGATGTGATGGAGTTAAGTATTACATGCTCAGAGCACTGTCTGGAGGAAGCTTTAGCACTCTCTTGCATGCAATTACCAACTGCTGGTCCACTAACTTTATAGCCTCAGATTTGCGATATATCAAAGTAGTTCCTATTCTTAAGGCAGGTAAAGACTTAAATGATTTAAGTAACTTCAGACCAATTTCACTAATATCTGCATTCATAAATACTATCAACCTCATGGTTAAGGAGAGACTAAGTGATTTCTTGAAAACTGAGAACATTATTCCAGCTCGTTCTTACGCCTATCAAAAACGCAAATCTACGAATATATACGTTAACGAACTATCTTTTCTCATAGCCAGCTTAAAAGAAGCAGGTAAAATGGTTGTCATGCTTTCCCTGGACATCAGCAAAGCCTTTGACTGTGTCAACTTGATTAAGCTTAGTAGAATTCTCTTAAACTTTTCGACTCCTTTTCAAATACGGCTGTGGGTACTTAATTTTTTATCCAAGCGTGTGTTGATGATGGGTACCAAAAAAGTTGAAATATGTGGTGGTATCCCACAAGGCAGTTATTTAAGCTCCATACTCTTCAATCTATACACAGCTTCTTTGCATGATCTTCAAAATGACAAAACTCATATTTTTCAATATGCAGATGATTTCCTAATTGTATCTGCGGACTCATTTTTTTCAGCTGCTGTCAATAATCGCTCGATGAAAGCTAAATTTTTTTCGACGCATGCGCTGATCTCAATTTATATTTTAACACCAGCAAAACAAATACTATTTATTTTGCCAAAGGTTCTAAACGTGAAATCAGGCTCTTTGTCAAAGGTACTAAGGTTGATCAGGTGAAATCTCTTCGGTTTCTTGGTAGAATTTTAAA